TTACCAGGAAAAGGAGCTGGGAAAGGAGGCAAACACTTTCTTAGTCCTTAAGGAACTTCAGTCTTCAGAGAATTTGCAGGGGGGAGGAAATCTATCTTTAAGGCCCTTCTCCAGGCAAGGTGGCTGGTGATTCACTGGCTGCCGAGGAAGGCCCCGCACCGCCCTCCCCTCCACTCTTGCCTCTCCCCAGTGAGAAAACGCAGTTCATCTGGGGTGAGTGGAAAGGGCCCTGGGTGAGGAGCCCGCAGGCCTGGATTTCCGAGTTATCTGTGCCCATCACAGCCGGCAACCGAGTCAAGCCTCCTATGGCCCGAAGCCTTGGTTTCCTGTGAAATAAAGGAGTGGTAAATCATAGACTCTCTGAGCCTCGATTTTCTTATCTGCAGATTGGGGATGATCATTATACCACGTCCCATTGAGTCTAAGATGTCATCCACTGTATGATGCTCCCTTATTTTATGTACATTAAGAAGGAAGGGACACTGTCTGTTCAACAATAATGTGTCATTGACTGTAAGACACATTCTGATGTCAGAGACATTAAAATGGGCCTTTCGGAATCGGTGAATATGATACTTATCTCATAAGCTTGTTCCAAGTTTTTACTGCCTGGCACAGAGCAAGTACGCAGTAAATAAGATATTATTATGGCTCATGGTGGAGCTGGGGGGAGGAGCCACAGGCCAAAGGGATGAAGGTGTGTGAGAAGCCCACCTTCACTCTTCTGGCAAGGTGCCACCCCAGGAACTCCATGGTCAGCCCCAGCTGGGGGTCAGGGGTACACGGAGAGCAGCTCTCAGCCTGTTTTAGGAAGCCACAAGAGAACAAAGGGCCCCATCTGTGCCCCGGAAGTCAGCCTAATCTCCAGGATGGATATGTTTTCTTTTCGCAGAAGTTCCTGTTAGAGTGTGCCAAAGCCTCTTTCCCTCCACAAGCCAGACAAACAAGGCAGGTTTACTTTGGGTGACCTTCTCACCGCCACCCGGGGCCTGCCTGCCGTGGGTAAACATCCACCCTTGCACCTAGTGGAGGCTCCGGAGGGGAACCTGGAAAATGGGAGTGCCGGGCCCCTTAAGGAGGCAGGTCCTTGACCCCGCTCCCCAATTCCCTGCCACGGACTCTCCTGGGAAGGTCCTCGGAGAGGACAGGACCCTACAGATCATTAACTCTCCCCCATTTTATAGATGTGAAAATTGAGACCCCTAGAAGGACAATGACTATGGGGGGGGGGGTATCAAAGTGTGGTAGTCCCCAGCCAAGCACCCCCTCATCCTTCTCCCCCCACCCACACAAACACACACACACACACACACACACACACACACACACACACACACACATAAGCACTTGGCAGGAGCCTTTCTCTCTCCCCTGCCCTTGCATCTGGGACTGACAGGAAGCTCAGCTCTGTCCTTTCTCTCCCGTGCGTCACTGCCTGGGTTGGGATGTCTATGCATTTCGCTTCACAGCTGGAGCAGCTGCTGGTGAGCAACAACCAGATGTTCCTGGAGCCCATGCAGGAGGGGCCACAGTCTGCTTTTCTTGACCTGGAGTGTGTGCAGAACCAATCTGGACCTCTTTCCCCTGTCCTTCGATGGAGAGAACTGGCTGGAGGCGGGCTGGGTTGTGGGACCAGGCCCAGGAGTGGAGGGGGAGCAGACCCTCTTTGTTGACATCTTCCTTCACTATCTAGCTTCCTCTCCTGGGACATCTTTAAGAGACCATATGGAAGGGAGGGCCCTCTAACCTGAACTGGCGCCATTCTTTTCCGCACGTACATGGAATAGAGCCTTGAGCTTCGGTATGACCGTCCTGGGTCTGTGCAGAGCATGGGGTGTTATATGCATCATCCCACTCTCATGCCCCTTCCAGTCTTCCTTTCTCTTTTTTTCTTCTATTTGCTGTTCCCTCTGCCCTCGTTGCTTTTCCCTCCATTTTACCCCCTAAGGGATTCCAGCTCATGATTCCGTTCTCAGCTCACATGTCACGTTTTCAGAAAGGCCTTCCTCGTTCACACAGCCACATCACACTGTTGCATCTCCTTCATGGTCCTTATCACTATTTCAAGTCATCATCTCAAAGCCCCCCGCAGGGTTCCTTCATCCCTTCTGGAATGCACCTTCTTAATCACCACCATGTCTGTCTCTGATATCTGGTCTGGAACTGATCACAAATGCTCATTAGTACTCGTAGCGTATGTGAGTAAATCCCCTGCATTCTCTTCCTAGCTGGACTTTGCCATCCCGTCATCCTAGGAAAACAATTATCATGCTCCTACCCCATGCAGGCTCTGCACTGCCTAGTCCCTCTTCCTGCCCTCCCCGTCCCTTCACCCCTAAGGTTTTTCTTGAAGATCCTGCCTCGCAGACTCCACAGGAGGTGCTGGAACCACAATGTCTCCCTGGGATTATTTTCCATGGTTCCTGGGGTGTTCACCTGGGTAAGAATCAGGAAGGAGAGGACACTCTAATCCTATTTCTCTAAAACGGTATAATCTTCCCCAATCACTTAAATGGTGCCTGCGTCTGTAATTACAGAGCAGGCTGGGAGGATCGCGGGCACAGTCTCTAGCCAACCTTGGGCAGGGGGGCTCTTTTGTTCCCCCAGGGGGCCAGCAGGGACTCCGGCTTGGGAGCCAGGAATCCAGACACCTGCTGGCACAAGCTCACCACCACAGACTGGCTCATTCACACAGCCAGAAACCGCTCCCCTCCTTTCCCCAAAAGGTTTGCATAGCCCCCTCCCTGAGGCCCAGCTGTGACACATTTGAAAAAACACCCAGGCCCTAACTGGTTTGGCTCAGTGGATAGAGCATCGACCTATGGACTGAAGGGTCGCAGGTTCGATTCCAGTCAGGGGCATGTACCTTGGTTGCGGGCACATCCCCTGTATGTGCAGGAGGTGGCTGATCCACGTTTCTCTCTCATCAATGTTTTTGACACTCTATCCGTCTCCCTTCCTCTCTGTAAAAAAAAAAAAAAAAAAAAAAAAAAAAAAAAATCAATAAAATATATATATTTTTAAAACACCCAGGTCTCAGCACCCTAATTCTGTCTGCCACTGTTATGATTTCTGGGGGCCTCAGAGTGGCATTGCTGGCGAGAGGTCCACACAGCACGGGTGCTCTTCCCAGCTTCTCAGGAACAGATTCTGCAGGAGGCAAACTTGGCTCAGGTTCTAGCCCAGGGCAGGATCGAGCGAACAGCCCTGGGACAGCCTAGAGGGTCAGAACTTCATTCTCCAGAACCATGTCAATGGGGCCAGGAGACGGGGGAGAGCCACAGGCCTGCCTGCCCACCCCAGCAAGCTGCTGCCAACTCAGCCTCCGCCTGTGCCCTCTCCCACCCAGGCACCGAGCCATTTCAGTGACACCCTTGGCTCCGCGGCAATGACATCTCTGCTTCTTAAAGACCTTCTGGTCCCGAGCTAACAAGAAGCCCCGGACAGCAAGGACATACTTAATCCCAGTAATGACTTCTGCCCAGGAACGGCGGGCCCCACCCTGGGAGGGAGTGCCTCTCCGAACCGCCTCCATTTGCTCAGGTGCCTGGGGACTGTTTATCAGCCCTTTCAAAAGATTAAGCTGTACTCTGAAGCGGGACACTGAGGTCATGGATCCCGGGGGTGTCCCGTGACCGTGGAGCGTGTGCCAGCCGGCGTCTGGGTTCACACACACCCATGGCCCCTAGGCTCCCAAGTCTTGCTCTTGGGAGCCATTTGAGGAACTGGAGGGTCAGAGAGAAGAGGGGTCCTTGCTGCATCTCTGCTAGTCACCTTTCCCACCAGGAGAGGTAGAAACAGACACTCTTAGCCTGAGGGACTCGGAGTCCATGTAGGGTCATGGATACAGAACAAACAATGACAATAGCACATTATACTCATCCCCCGGAGGATAGCACACGGTGTGCTGGGAGTGTCATGGTGGTAAATGCTCCAGCCTGGGGGGAAGAGAGACGTGAACAACCTTCCCATTGAGAGATCTGCGAAGGGGCCTGTGAGATGGACTTCCCTGCCTTGGACTTGGCTCAGGTCCTAGCCCAGGGCTGGGAAGAATGGAAACAACTCAGCTTCCTCGTGAGCGAGCGTATGGAGGAGTGGTTAGCGAAGCCATTCACGATGCCAGGACGACTTCGCTTTAGGCCTCTGTGTTGTTTTGTTGTTTTGTTTTGTGTGGGTTTTTTAAATCTATTTTTATTGATTTCAGAGAGGAAGGAAGAGAAACATCCAAGATGAGAGAGAATCATGGATCGGCTGCCTCCTGCAAGTCCCCCACTGGGGATGGAGCCTGCAACCCAGGCGTGTGCCCTTGATTGACCGGAATCAAACCCGGGGCCCTTCAGGTCCAAGGCCGACGCTCTATCCACTGAGCCAAACCGGCTAGGGCAAGGCCTCTGTTCCGGGAGCCATCAGAGATCAGAGATTGCTAGCTTGTCTCTTTAAAAGAGGAGGGCCGGCTGCTCAGGCCCCTCCCTCCTCATTACTATGAAATTATCGTGAATATTGATGCGGGGGCGTGGCGGCTTGGCCAGCTGTGCTCACCCGCCAGGGGTTCCCGGCTTCGCAGAGGAAAGTGACAGAAGCCAAGCCGAGGGAGACGCGGAGAGAGCAGAGCACTCGACAGCCGCCAGTCTCGTGGGGGGAGCGCCCCGCTCCCCCGCCCCCGGCTCCCACCCAGCCCGGGGGGCTCCTCCAGCCCTCAGCCCCGCTCCCGGGCTCCCCATGGAAGCCAGCTGCGCCCCCGGAGGAGCCGGAGGGAGAGGAGTCGGCTGAATGCCCACGGTGCGCCCCGCGCCCCTGAGCCCTGCCTCCACCGCGCCCTGAGCGCCCGCGCCCCCGCGTCCCCTGCGCCCCCCGCGTCCCCTGCCCGGGGCAGAGCCGCCCCCGCCCGCCCCGGACCTGCCCCCGCGCGCTGCCAGCCGCCAGCAGCAGCTCCGGGCCGGGCGCGTCGCCGCCCTGGAGTGAGCGCAGCCCAGCCCCAGGGGTCCCCGGAGCCCGCTGCGATGGACGCCGTCCTGGAGCCCTTCCCGGCGGACCGGCTGTTCCCCGGATCCAGCTTCCTGGACCTGGGGGATCTGAACGAGTCGGATTTCCTCAACAATGCGGTAAGACCAAGGGTCTGCGCGCCTCTTCCACCGCTCCGCACCCCGCTGTGCCGCTCGCCCGCCCCCCCCTCTCCCCGGCGCCCCCAAGACTGGGTGCACTTCTCTGGGCAGAGGGAGGCGCGGCTGGAGGCAGGCCCCCCTCCCCAGGGGCACGTGCTCAGAGCTCTGAGGTCCGGGGACGGAGTCCCTACACCTCCCTGGTGCCCAAGCCAGCGCGCGCCCCTCCTGGGGGCTCCGTCTGGGGGTACACTGGCCTCCACCTTCGGGGGACAGGGACGTCGAGGCGGCGGCGGCGCCCGGTTCTCCGATGTGAGCTTGAAAGACACGAATCCTGTCCCCGCCCTCCCGCCCGGGGCTCCGGGACCAGGGTGCGCGCAAAGCTGACCCGCGGCCGGCTCTCCGCTGGGAGGCGCACCGGGGAGTGTTGGGGGGGGAGGGGGGAGGCAGAGACTCGACGCCCCGTGATCCAGACTCGGGGTTCTGAGCCAGACCCGGACACGTAGGGGTGCTGCCTGCCGCCCCAAAAGTCAGGAACGCGATGCCCCCAGGAAGGGACCTGGCGTCCAGCTGGGCAGAGCCCCACGGGGCGACCGATGGCCCAGGAAGAGGGCGGTCTTTCTCCCCGTCCCTCTCTCTCTAGGTCTGTTTCTCCCTCGCCTCTCGCTGACTTTCTCTCCCTCTCTCTCTTTCTCTGTAACTCTCTGTGTCTGAGCTTGTCCTTTTTCTCCCTTTCCCCTCTTCCTCTCCCATCCTAAGGAAACGTGGCTTCTCTCTCTTCTTCCCTCCCTCCCTTCCTCTATCAGGCTCAGCCCAAAGGCCCTGCTGTGGGGGAGGGGTATGGGCTCAGGAACAGGAATAAAAATATTTGGGTTCCGAGGAACCTTCCCGGTTAAAATGTGGGCAGCTTGGAGAGTCTGGTAGGATGCCCCCGTGTAGTGAACCTCCTGTCTGTCTGCACACGTGTGTGCCCTGCGCGCGCAAACCCAGAGATCATCATCCCAGGACCTCTACTTCCTGGCCTCTACCTGCTGGGACTAAGATCAGCTTGGCCAGACAGAAGCCAAGGGCATAGACATGTAAAGGGTTGGGCATCTTGGACTTCCAACCTAAACTGCCCCTGGCTGTTAAACCAGCCAGGCGTGGGGTTGAGGTCTCCAGGCCCTTCCTTTGCAGCAGAGGGAGACCAAGGACACTTGGGCAGGAAGGCCAAGTGGAGGAGGAGAGAGGGCTTGAACCGGTGGCGGGGGAGACCTGGGTTCTAGTCCTGCCTCTGCTTCTGCCTCCCTCTGTGAACCTGGGCCACCCCACCAGCTCCCTTCCCTGGGCCTCAGTTTCTTTGTCAACAACACGGGCAAAGGTTGGGTCAAGTTTTTCTAAGGATGGTCTGGTGCCGATCCTAGGAATAAAGCAGCAGAGAGCTGGGGTTCCAGGCGCCTCTCTTGGAGTTGGTAACGGATACTGGTCAGAGGGAGCGGGGTTGTTGTTTGTCCCCTTGAGGCCACGGGAGGTGGGAGATCCCCTTTGGGAGGTTTCCTCAGAACCCTGAGCAGCTCTGAGCCGGGCTTTCTGAATGAACTCTGCCGCCTACAGCCTCTTCCTGCTGCTCCATTCAGCCTTGCCTCCCCAGCTGCTCCTCTGGGCCCCAGTCCAGCGCAGGAAAGGAGGCAGGATCAGACAGTGGTATCCAGCACTAGGACTAGGGGAGGGAAAGCCCTGCTAGCAAAGCTCTTGACCTGGGTCCTAGGCCAGGCCAGGAGAGGCGGGGCGCAGGAAAGGCTTTCGGAGAGGAGAGGGAAAAGAATTCCTGTGCTGGTTCTAACTGTGCTTCTGCCGCCAGCCATCGAGGCAGTTCGGACAAGTGACTTTTCATGCTCTGGTTTCCTCACCTGAAAAATGGAGACACGGAGCCTTCCCCATAGTGTTATGGTAGAGATTTAGTGACAACGTTAATGAGAGATGAATTAGAACTCTCCCTGGCAGGTAAGTGTCCATGGTTAACTTGCTCCAGAAGCTACATAGAGTGACAGTAAGAACGACTCAGACAAAAACCGGTTTGGCTCAGTGGATAGAGCGTCGACCTGCAGACTGAAGGGTTCCAGGTTCCATTCCGGTCAAGGGCATGTACCTTGGTTGCAGGCACATCCCCGGTAGGGGGTGTGCAGGAGGCAGCTGGTCGATGTTTCTAGCTCTCTATCCCTCTCCTTTCCTCTCTGTAAAAAAATCAATAAAATGTATTTTTTTAAAGGTTCCCATTATCAAAGAGTATGGGATACCTTGATAGTTTAAAAAAAAAAATTACACAGGGAGCAGTTGCTGTGGGACCCTCTCTGGCGCCTCCATGTAAGCGTTTAAGGTCCCATACCAACTCCTTCTTCATGCTGCATGAGGACAGGAAAAGTCTCCAGAGGGAAGGATGGGGAGGGATGGACTCTGCGTGCTTCTCCGTCTGGAAGATGGAGAGCAGGATATTCGTTATCCTTTAAAATCCAGATAAAGGCCATAAAGTCATGCAGAGAATGTATGTGCTCTGTTTGCTCGTGCAAAAAGCAAACATCAAAAGGAATGCTCGCCCTGCACATTTGTACGTGAGAAGCACACATTCGCTTGGACAGAGTGGGGAGAATGAGCATGCAGTCAAGTCCAGTGTGCTTGGGAGGTGGCCGGGGTGCTTTCTGTTTTCTTTTGTGAAGATCCGATCGTGCAGTCTTGCCTATGTGATTCTCAGAGGCACCTCTCAGAAGGGGCTGCCCTTCCTGCCAGATGTGGGGGCTTCCCCTGCCCATAACTCCCACAGTTCCTGAGGTGGCCACCCTAGAGCCGGCTTCCCTGAACCCTGTGCTCAGCCCCTGGGCAAGTATGTGCTCAGAGAACTGAGATAAAGGACCGAAGGGAGAACAGGTCATGCCTCCAGATAGAGACACTGGTTCTGGGTGCTTCTTGCCTCATTCCTCTGGCTAAGGGGAAGGGGTGAGTCTGATTTCCCTAGGAGCAAAAGGCTTTGGATCCCACAGAAGGCCCAGCTGGGGAGGTGGTGGGGGGTGGGAGGAGAAGGAGGAAGAGAAGCTCTGTTGTCTCAGAGGGGAGCAGCAGGAAGCTTGGAGGATGTTTGCCCAGCACACTCATTTACCTCCCAGCAGCTGGGGAGGCCAGGTATGGGAATGACCAACCCCAGGGACCAACCCAGGAGAAGGGAGGTGTGGAGCTCAGCCTGATCACTGCTGCCCAGACCCCCAGCCTGGTTTCCCCTGAGCTAAATGGGAAAGCAGAAAACCCCCACCCCCTACCCCCACCCCCACCCCCAGGCTTTGCAGGACTTATGGAGATTAGAGAAGTATGTGCATTTGGGTGTTTCTATGTCTGTGTGTGGGCCTTTAACAGGCCTTCAAAGGGGAGGGGTATATGTGTGTGAGCCCATGTGCATACATGTGTGTTTCTCTTTAAATTCTCACCCGTGAGAAAGAGGTCCCAAGGGCCACAGCACTCTGGTCTCAGAGTAGAATCCACGGGAAAAGGACTAACAGAGAAAAACTCATCTCCCCGAATGCCTACTCCTCCAGAACACTGATTTTGTTTTGGGCAGGTTGTTTTGTTTTGTTTGTTTTCTGCTTCCCCTACTGAGATATGAGCTCCTTGAAGGCAAGGGTTTATCTGTCTTGTTCACATTGTACCCCAGTGCCATGTGTTGTGCTTGGCACAGAGTAGGCCTCAACCAACCATTACTGAATATGGGGGGAAGGGGGGAGTCTAGGTCAGACCTCACATTTTTAAGGAGAGGGGGAAAAGAGGTGCCTAAGCTCATCAACTCCCAGCCATCAGTCCTGCAGCCTGCACTGTCTCTGAGATTCAGGAAGGTTCTCCATGCTTTCCAATGAGCTGTCATTGCCTTGAGCCTCCCCATCCTATGTGTGGTTCAGACACTCATAGCTCCTGGACCAGATGGTCTAGGTCTGAGCCACAGCAAATTTTAATTGTATAATAGTTAGGCCCCGGCTTTGAGCATTGGCTCTAGGGCTCCCCACTTCCCCAGTTTCTTCCCATTCAGGACTCCTGGGTCCACATTCACCAACTTAAAATTAGGTATTTTCCTGGCCTGCCTCAGGGCCTTTGCACGTGCCGTTCCTGGCATCTAGAACGCTTTCCCTTCAGTTCTCTCTACCTCATCTTCTTCAGTTCAAATGTCACCTCTTTAGAAAAGGTTCCCCCAAACCACCTCCAGTGGGACACTCTGTAATTTTCCGTTTCAGTCCTTTGATTTCTTCATAGCTCTTATCTCAGACTGCGGTTATTTTATTGGCTTGTTGTCCATTTCCTCTGTGAAAAAGAAAGCTCAAGAGAGCAGAGACCATGTCGGTGTTGTCCATTGTCATACACCTAGCACAGCACCATGGCGTACAGTAGGTGCTTAATATAGTAAAATTCCATCAGAAGGCAATAAACAGAGTACAAAGTGTTCAATCATGAAAAATGGGAGGTTATGGTATTATAGGACCAATGAAAAACAATCGATTTGGGGTCTGTACTAGCACAAAAAGCATGAAAGTCAAATGGTGAAATGTGACTGACCACATGCCACAGACCAAACTGAGAAGGTTCTAAAGGAGCAGGAGGCAGTCAGCCCTTTAGGTAAAAAGTTGCCCACCTTTGTTTGAAATGGGTCCCCAGTGTAGGAAAGAAGCCATGGCTTTGTCGCATTGTAGTAGACTTTGCTCCATTTCAAGGATTTACTCCATTTGTAGAGAGAGAAAAAATATACTTCAAACTAGGGCAATCTCCAATAAGGGAAGGGAAGAGAATGTTTTTAAAAAGGAAGGCCTGTGCTCAACAATAAAGATTAAAAATAAAAATAAAAAGATAGGCCTGTGTGCTAAAGTAGACCCATAATTCCTGAAGGGGTCCTAAGGGTGTCTGGGTCCTGGCCTGCTCAGCCCTGAGGGTGATGGGGATGCTGGATCCCAGGAAGATGCTGTCTGTACCCTGATCTGCTGGGAGGTCCCTCCGGC